CAACCAAACAGTTATATGAAATAATTTTTTAATAACAGCTATATATGCTCTGAAGGAAAAAACAGTGTGGGGTGTTGTGTTTAAAAACAAAGCAACTGTGGGGGCTGGTGAATAGGATTGTCAGAGAAAAATCTCTTTGAAATTATAATTAAGACTTCAAGAATGGGGGGGAAGCTGCCTTGCTTAAAGCCAGGGGACACACATTCAGTGAGAAAGGACAGGAAGTATAAAGGACGTATGGTCTGAAAGAGATTGTCGTATTTGAGAATTGTTGGAAGACCTTTGTGACTAGAGCACTGTGAACAAAGAAGGGAGTGGCTGGGGACAAGGATGGAGAGACGGGTAAGAGGTTGTTATGGGGATTCTTGTAGATGACCATATGGGGTTTTAGTATTATTCTCAGTGAACTAGAACTGCTGCAAAGCTGTAAGTGTGGGAGTGGCAGGATCTTGGCTTTTCATTTTATTTTTTTATTAAGTTTTAAAATTTTAACTCCAGTATAGTTAACATAAGTGTTATATTAGTTTCAGGTGTACAACGGAGTGATTCAACAATTCTCTATATTACTCAGTGCTCATCATGATGTGTCCTTATTTCATCTACTTTTTTAAAAAATAATTTATTTTAGAGAGACAGAGAGAGAGCAGGGGGAGGGGCAGAGGGAGAGAGAGAATCCTCAAGCAGACTCCCCGCTGAGCACAGAGCCCGATGCGGGGCTCGATTCCAGGACCCTGACATCATGACCTGAGCCAAAACCAAGAGTCAGATGTTTAACCAACTGAGCCACCCAGCTGCCCTTATTTCATTATTATTAACAGCCATGATAAAATAGTGTGATTTCCACCCACTCAATATGATATCATCTCCACATGCCAGATAAAGAAGACAAAAGATAGGAAAGCTGCTGTAACAAAGGTCTTTTGCTAGATTCGGGCTTCTGGCTCACTAGTAGAAATGAAAGTTAAGATTACTTTCAGAGAATAATTTCTTCCCTTTCTGTTCTTCCTGTTCTTTCTAATCACTTCCTGTGATTACAGTTTCCACAAGCTTAGTCCAGGAGTAGCTAATGATTGCTCCCCTGTGTATATGGCAGGGGTCACAGGTAGCAGAGTAAATGAAATAATGAGGTGAGACAGAGGAGGGGTCTATACTCCACTTGTACATTGATTTCACATGTTCACCCAGCTACTGAAATATCTGAAATGATGTGCCTTTTGGGTCAGTCTGTTTCTTTGTGAGTCACTGGAAAGCACAGACCAGCTCCCTGTTTCCTTGCTTGTGTCAGTCCATCCCCTTAGGCACACTAGACTGGAAAACTTTCCGCCATTTTTGGTTTATTCCTGTCCTTCATTCTTCAAATGTAGTAATTTGTTTGTAAGTCTCTGAAATGCCGTTTATACCCATCTTGTGCTCTCCGTTCTTATTGTGACAATGCTAGAGCATGTAATACTTACAGTCATCCGTCTGACCATCTATCTATCCCTTGTGAGTTTCATGACCCTCTTGTTTTCAAAAAGATTTGAAGGAGTTAATAAAGTGGAAGAACGTAAACCTGGATAATTAAGATTAAAGAGAACAGAGAGGGCCTAAATCAATTGTTCTCACTGTTGGATGCATTACAAACAATGGAGAACTTACAAAAAATAGTCATACTCGGGAGATTCAGATTTATATTGTCTAGAGCTCCCTAGGTGATTCTAAGGTGCAGCCAAGGTTCAGAACCTGTGGGATTGGACATGCAGGAGTAGATATTACCAGCCACTTGCTATGAGCTGATTACAACCTTTGAATCCTGAATATGGCTGCAAAGACAAAAAGGGACATATGCTGTGTTCAACACCTCTCATTATCTGACAAAACGTTTTTTCCCCAGAGTTAGACTCTAAAAATAATATATTGTGTATTTCCTAATAATACAATAATAGCTACCTTTTATTTTTATTTTTTTTTATTAAAGATTTTTTATTTATTTATCTGAGAGAGAGAATGGGAGACAGAGAGCATGAGAGGGGGAGGATCAGAGGGAGAAGCAGACTCCCTGCCGAGCAGGGAGCCCGATGCGGGAATCGATCCCGGGACTCCAGGATCATGACCTGAGCCGAAGGCAGTCGCTCAACCAACTGAGCCACCCAGGCGCCCCTACCTTTTATTTTTTTATAGCAATCTCTACACCCAATATGGGGCTCGAACTCGTGACCCTGAGATCAAGAGTCGCAGGTTCCATGGACTGAGCCAGCCCCTGATAGCCCCTGATAGCTACCCATTGTTGACTGTTTGCCAAGTGCTAAGCATTATGCCAGTTGAAGGAATTAGCTGTTTTAAGTCTCACAACACATCTGTGATGTGAATATATTATCAACCTAGTATTTCAGATGAGGAAACTGGGGTCTTGAGGAATTAAATAAATTGCAGCTTTTGGACTAACTGTAGAATCTGATTCTTGACCACTTCCTGCACTGTCTCTGATGTGAATGCACTGGGCAATATCTCCAGTTAAAGTTGTCCAAAAGACAGAATGGTGTTCAAATGGAGGTTCTTGTAAAATAAAGGCTGAAGGAAAATAATTTCACAAAAGCATTTGTGCAAGGTATTGAGAGGATATTTTGCTTTCTGATGGACTTCTTATGGGGTAAAACACTGGGACGCCTCAAAGAGTGGGCTGGTATCATGTCTGCATTTTGTCACAGGGGCCTTGGGGAGGTCTGGCTTCTCCCACAAGGCCGGTGAACAGGGCAGCTGCAGAAGAGCCTGAGCTTGGTGCAGGACCTACTGGGATGAGACCAGCAAGCCTCAAGTCTCTTGGAACCAGGCTTAGAGGCAGGAAATGGAAGATGGGGTAAAAAGCCAAGAAGGGCATCCTGCTTGAGCTGCCAGGCGCAGACAGCCTGAGGAATGTCGGTTGGACTGGGCAAGAGGAAATTCCCATGCTGAAGAGAAGCATGAAGGGATGAAGTGTATGGTTCTAGAGCCAAAGTGAAAAATATGGGTGTGCCTTTGGCTCAGGGGGGAGGTGGGGTGGGTGCAGATATTTTAAAAAGAGTAAAAGGTGGGTGCTGGGTCACAGGAAACTCATGATTATTTTATCTTAAAAAGGTCTAAAGTGGAAATACTTCATGTTGTTGAGTAAAGTGAGAACTGTAGGCTTTGCATGCCAGCCCTGAGTGGTCATTCTTGCATTAGGGTGTGACAGACCAGAGAAACTAGGGGTACCGCCTTGAGTCCACTCGGTCTCACTCTGACCCGTGCTCCCCAGAATCTTTTGAATAATGGGTCTTAAACGCTCTTTCAGCACATCTTAGCTCAAGAAATGTGAAAGGCACTCCATGGCTTACTCCGATCTGAATTCCCAAGTGGTCTTCATTTTTCTCTCTCCACTTTGGTCCCTCCACCTCTTCACATCTTCCTATCACATTAGTCAGGCTCACTCACTGCTCCCCAAGTGACTGTGGCTTGGATTAAATGTCTGTTCTATGTGCTTTAGTCTTGACTGCCCAAAGTGATTGCAAGTTCTTTGAGGGAAAGGATTTATGGCTTTTAAAATTTCTCCTTTCCAGGACCTCGCGCTAAGCAAATGGAAGAGCCAATCCTGCACCTGACTCTATTACCCTGAGTAGTGCCGGGACAGGGCCAGCCTCAATGAGCTATTTAATAAGGGTTTTTGGCTCGAGATAATGATCATCTTGGAATCAGAAATTATTTTGATGTGTTTTTTGTAATGACAACATTGATAACAAAGCCGCATTATAAAATGGCATAGTGCAGTTCAAAAGGTTTGAATGCCAGTTCTGTCACATATTAACCGTGTGACCCTGGGCAGGGCGCTGAGAGCTACAGTTTCCTCATTATAAAAGAAAGGTGATCATGGGGACCTCTGAGTGATTGTGAGGATTAAGTTACACACCAAAAGGAAATTGTTTAGCACAGTAAATGGCTATCACAGGCATTTAATTCATGTGTTTTACTACAGAAAATTTAAAATCCCTATCACTTTCTCTTCTCCTGGATTTCTTTTTTTTAATTTTGTTTTATTATGTTATGTTAGTCGCCATACCATACATCACCAGTTTTTGATGCAGTGATCCACGATGCATCGTTTTCATACAACACCCAGTGCTCCATGGATTTCTATTATCTCCTTTACCCAGATCAGAAAGTTAATTTAAAAATTTTTTTAAAACTTGTTTTGTGGTTAGATGTTTTCTAATAATGAGAAGTTGGTAGACATCCTATTAACACAAGATTTTTTTTCTTTTTGGTAACTATCTGGATCATAAAAAACAAGAATAAGACAAATTAGTCTTAAATAGTAACTCAAAGTACATTAAGGACTGTTTAATAATAATGCTCATTGTTTTGTGTATTAAAGAATTCATTCCAGAATATAAAAAAAAAAAAAAAAAGACAAATTAGTCTTCAGTTTAGGCTGGGAATCAGGAGAAGGGAGAAGGGAAGGTAGAGAGTCCCTAGATTGCTGGTAGAAACATGACCCACTAACCGTTAATCTAACACCCATGATGAAGTCTTGGTGGTAAGGAACCTAACTCCTGCCTTGGTTAGCAAGAGCACTCTAGAGCTGGGCTATGAGTTTCCATGACAGAGCCAAAGCACTGGCTCTCTGATCTACTGGACTTTGCTGTAGGATGGGTGTGGCCAAAAGAAGACCACCATGAATTCACCAGGAATGAGAGCATCAAGACTGAACTTTATTTCACCCAGCAACAGAACAGTAGAATGGCATTCTTCTCTTTAACTTTTATCCCTTCTTCTTGTCCTTCCAAGCAGGGCTGGTGATAGATGTTGTCGGGGTTATTGTGGCAGGCATAGAGATTCTGCCCACTGGTCAAGAGAGCTCGCTCTCAGATGCTGGCTCTGCCCCTGCCTCCTGAGGTCGGCCCTTGTACTCGCAGGGCGTTAGGTGCCTCTGTAAGTATAGTAAAACTCTGTTAATCTGTTGTTATCATTCAATAAAAGAAGAGTGAAGCAACCATTTGACAAGGTGAGACTTTTTCCTGACATAATTGGTTCTTTATTTAAAAGTACAGAAAATATTGGAAATGAAATAAAAACTCAGAGGTTCAAATGCGTCCCATAAACTGAAGTAGCAGTGACACATTCATCCACAGGTAAGTGTAGCTGTTTAAAGCCCTATCTTGCTTCCCTAGGCAAAAGCGCAGCAAGGGTTATAAAATACACACCTCCCTCATGTCATAAGGCAATTAAAGACAATCATATTATTCTCTTTTGCAAAAACCAGTGCTCTTCAATGTCATAGCAAAAAGATGATATGATCATAAAGTGAGGTTAGAGAGGAATTTCCTCATAAAATTTCTGAATGAAATTTGCATCACATCCCATGATATTCCCTTGTCAATTATTTAAAAAACGTTTTCCTTGGCAAAACTGCCTCTATACTACTTCCTCTGCTTTCTGTCCTTATCATTAAACTCAGAGTTGCTGAAAGCTCAGGATTACTCAATATAGAGTGGGCAACAAATGAACAAATGGAAAACTCCCATTTGAAAGCCTTGTTGCAAAAGGTACTTAATGAGTAAACGGAAATGACTGACTTACAAGAAACCCTCTCACCTAGAAAGAGAATTATCAGGACAGCTTTGTCAAGTGGGAGTAACTATTTGATATACTAGTCATTCTGGAAACTGAAAGTCAATTAATTTACTTCCCCCTGTCCTCTCTTGGGCCAATCTGTCTTTCTTTCCTGCTATCCCTCTTTAACCTCTAGAGGTTTTATTATTTCTTTTCCCATTAAGAAATTCAGCATTCAGTCTCTTGACTTCCCTTATTTTCACATGTTCAGGGACCACATGCCAAAGTTCATTCAGAATGTCAATAATTGTATGAAAGTCCATGACATACATTTTAAGGTACACATTTGTTGTCAGAAAAGCAAATTGCAATAGGCCATAAGGCACATGAGTTTGTCCATTTTCTGTGTTAGATAAGAAAACTTGCGAGGAAGACCCAGAGGGAATTTAGGATTCTGCACACAGTTTTACGTCGTCCATAGAGATTGACGGTGTCCCCATTGGGAGTCTCACCCCTTCTCTCTAAGCTGTTCTGAAGCTTCAGGGCTTTTGTTGTGTTATATCAGGATATTTAGACAATGGGGAGAGGAATGATGAAGTGTTAAAGACTCATGGCGGCATAAATTAAAACAAAGCATCAGTGAGATCGAAATCATGAAATTCTTTCACTTCCACAGCTGGATTCATTCCATTAACTGGCTTCCAGGGGCGCCCAGGACATCTGGGGGAGGTTTTTTCTGGAAAGTCAGATATCAGGTTAAATGAAAGGCTATTTGGCTCTATCTGGATGTCAGGGATCCAATCATCATCACTCTCTGTGGGAGCTGGTGGCTTTGGCATCACGGCTGCAATGAGATCTGAGTCCTGAAAGTCAGGCACAGCAGCCGCTGTATCAGGCTGGGCTAGGGAAGGGAGGGGTGTTGGCCCTTCTGTCTTCTCTTGTGTCTGTGCAGAAGACGTAGTACTAGCTTCAGAAGAACTTGCCAAATGCTCTGTTTTCCAACCATTGTGCTTTCCATTGTTTTTTCTTTTATTTTTATACTTTCCATGGCCTTGGCCATGTTCATGTATATGTCCATGGGCTAGGCCATGTTCCCTTTGATGTCCATGGCCAAGGCCATGTCTCCCTCGGTGTTCAAGATCATAGTTAAGTTCCTGTGGATGTTCATGACCAAGGCCATGTTGCTTTTGATGTCCATGGCCAAGGCCACGTCCCCTGTGGTACCCATGGCCTTGGTCATGCTCATGTTTATGGCCATGGCCAAAGCCATGTTTTATTTGCTTGTAATGGCCCCAGCCATGCCCATGAGTGTGTCCATGTTCTTTTCCTGAATCCCGCTCTTCATCTTGTACAGGTGCCATGGAAGTGTGGGGTGGACTTACAGTTGTTCCTTCTTCTGTTTTCTCCAAGGGTACTGATCGGAAAGGTGAAAAACCTGGAGGCCTTTTCATCAATATGATCTAAACAGGAAATATTAAGATGAATGCATTACTATGAAAACCATGCTATCAATGAAGAAAGAAGGGACTGAGTCCTGGCAATGCTATCTTTGTTTACAATGGGGCAAATCTATCAGACTTTAAATACTATATTAATATTCCAGAGAGGATGATAATGAATATTTTTTCCTCTTTGGTTGATTTTATAATTTGTGGTTATTGATTATTGTTCTTAATACTCTAAGCTGGAGAGTTTTTCCTTCACTGGGAAAAATTGGGTGGTGGTACCACATAATCTCTAGGGTACTTCTAAGCCCATGGTTATGTAAAGCCATGACATATTATTTATTCATTGATACTGTTTCTATTAGCACAATTACTCTTTTTATCCTAAAAGGCGCTAAGTGGCTTTATGAGCTGAATATCTAGGGAGCATATAGCCACAACTACTTTGTTGGATGGAAACACATTAGGAATTGTCACCAGCTTGAAACGCAGTCTTTGCATCATGTTTCTGTTAGACTCTGTACATACCGACACATGGCAAAAATGTAAATCAGGAAAAAGTAAGAAGAGGCAAATTGCACTGAAGATACGGTCTTGTGGGTTATTTCCACCTACACTTCCACTACCTGTGAGAATGTGATGGTCAGAGGCAGTGTTTGGTGGTACAAAGAACATGGTTTGGAGAGTCAAACAAGTCAGACCCTACTAGGAATCAGCATCATAGCGAATAGGGTGGGCTCTGATTTGATCTAGATTTGAATCCGAGCATCACTGGCTTCACTTTTCTCATCTGTAAATAGGATAATAACAGCACCTGCCTCACAGAGGTGTCAGGAGGGAAATATGTGTGAAGCTCTCAGTACAGTGCCTGGGACAGAGAGTACACTTGGTAATGTTATTATTCACCCTAGGACCTCAGCATCTTTGTAATTTTTAGGATGTCATCCTTGACAATGGGGAAAGTCTTACTTACTTCCCAGGGATCTTTTAAAAATTAAAAAAAAAATGATGCAAACTAATGCTTCCTGAACTTGAACATGGTTATGACCTCCTCCCCACCCCCCACCCCCCCACCCCGGGGATCATGTTAAAAATGCAGATTTTGAGTCAACTGATGTGGAGTGGGGGCAGAGATCTGCATTCCTCCTGAGCTCCTTGGCTGTAAGCAGTGGGCATGGGAGAGCAGGGCCTCGCCTCAGGCACACCTTGCAGGTGCATGGCTAGCATGGGCCCTCCACAGCAGGGCCTGCACTTCACCAAGCGAGGGCCCCCTGCCAATGGGACGCTGACAAGGCATGGTAAGTAATTACAAGGACTGCTACTCTCATGTCTAGCCATAAAGAGGTCAGCACAGAAATGTGAGCGTTCTTCCCCATTTTAAGAAGATAGTCTCCCAATTCATTTAAATAACGGTTCACTTTCAACCCTCAAATATGACTTTTCAGAATGAGCAAAGTTGACCCGAGCTGACTGCAAATCATACCTTTTTCAGTGGCTGACAGTTGACAGTAGGGTAAATTTTTTTCTCCCAACGTATCACAAAAACTTCGGCTTTACATTCTAGGATTTGCTATCCATGAAGACAGAAGCCAAAAGAAAGAACAGTGTTGTTCATGTGATGCTTAAACAAGTATAAAATATCAAAAAGGTTTCCAGGGAGCAAGTACACAGTTGCGTTACTACTCACTCCGTATTTATTGATCTGGCAACTTTCTGCCAACTCTTCGTTACTTTCTTTGGAACACATGGTTTCCCTGGCTATGAACACAATAGAAAATTTCTCTCCAGCCACCACCTGGATAATTAATTAGCACAAAGTAGGAGCTTAATTAATATTGTATAATAAATCATATGTTTTCACTCTAAGAAGTTTTTGGGTAGAATATTGACATTTTAATTATATACTGAACAAATGAGAGTTACACAGAAAAGTACAAATGTTTGACAACAAAATTTTCAATCTGTGTGCGTGTGAAAAATATTTGGCTGATGACTGGCCTCATTTCCTTTTCAAAATGGGGGTGGAAGCAAGCTATAATTTCTATTTTTATATTTTCCTGAGTTTTATTGTTTAACAGCTGCAAAAGTCACGAATAATTCAAGGGCTCAAGTTGTAATAGAATCTAAGAAAAGTAGGAAGAAAAAGTTAAATATTTTTTTTGAAATGCCTTATCATCCTGCCAAATCTTAGGTCGAGAAATACTGAGTTGGTACCACTATAGAAATTATGTGATTAGAAAAATTATTTGGATTTTCGAGCCTGCTTCTACTTCTTTTTTATATTAAGAATATGCTTTAATCTCTAGCAACAACCTTAATCATTACACAATGCTGTCTTCCATTAAGCAATTTGTGGCCCAGTTTTTTTTTTTGGTCTAGAAGAAACACACCTCATTTATTTATTTAAGAAATTAAGCTCATGTTTTTAAACTACTCTGACTTCAACAAAATCCCAGGGATGGCTTTTTAAGTCATTTTAAAATGCCATATCTTATAATTCTTATACCCTGAAAAATACACTTGATAAAAATGTTTTTAAATTATGTATTAAAAAGTTGATGTGGTTTCTAGACCAAGTTATTTGGTATTTAATTCTAGGATTTAAGTGTGTGTGTGTGTGTGTCATGGACTGACTATGTCCCCCACCAAACTCATATATTGAAGCCCTAACCTCCAATGCGATGGTATTGGAAGGTGGAGCCTTTGGGAGGCAGTTAGATTTAGATGAGGTCATGTGGATAGGGCCCTCATAATGGGCTTAGCATCCTTATAAGAAGTGTCTTTAGAAGGGTCTTATAAGAGAGCTCGCTCTCTCTGAAGTTGAAGACACAGCAAGAAGGTGGCCACCTGCAAGCCAGGAAGAGAGCCCTCACCAGGGAACCTAATTGGTTGGCTTTTAGACTTCTAAGCCTTAGGCACTGTGAGAAAAAAACTCCTGTTGTTTAAATCACTCAATCTTTGATATTTTGCTATGGTAGTCTAAGCCGACTGTGTGTGTGTGTGTGTGTGTGTGTGTGTGTGTGTGTGAGAGAGAGGAAGAGAGAGTGGGAGAGAGAGATTATGTAGCTGTCAAGAGAATACATCATACATATCTGTTGACCTAGAAGGATGACCATTATTGAAAAAATGAAGTTATAGGGTGATAGTACAATCCCATTTTTATAAAAGCAAACCTTAACAGTCTTCCCTATCTCTTTATACTTTGTAAAAACATGGGGAAAGCCTGATGAGAGGCAGGTGAGGAAAGCAGAGTTGTAGGAAGAACTAAGCTCCTCTTCCTTCTTTCTTGGCATTGTCTTGCTGGGCAAGCATGGCTAAAATCTTAAGAGAAATATAATAATTAACTTTTAAAACTCCAAGTGTATGTGTAAGTAGAGAGGAAGTTTCTAAGAGGGTTTTAGCATCTGTACTTCGGTGATCAAAAATTTTCTTGCTCATTTCAGGGTATACTTCAATCCAATTTTTTGGCCTTAGAGTTGATCAATGTGATGTTGCCTAAGAAAGTTGACAACATATAATGCTAACTGACAGCCCTCTTCAGGGTCCAGAGGAGAGAAATGAAGGAGACCTAATACCATCTTCTGTTTGAGGGCCTCAAGGTCACATCCATATATCACCATCATCATCAAGTGTCATTCTTATCAGAAGTCTTCCCTGCTGAAATCCACCCTGTCCAAGTTTTGTTTTTAAAATGGAGAACACTATATAGCAATGTAAGTTCTAATGGCATTTAAAAATTAAAATTAATGAGCTAGACAGATGTAAATATTCATCAGACCTGAGGATGAGGAAGGCCTTTCTTAGGGGAAGAGCAGAGGAAGGAAACCTAAAGGAAGGGGAAAATGTCTAAATTTGACTAGACAAAAATGAGAACTTACTCTCAAAATCACAGTAAGTGAAGTAGCAAGGCAATTTGGAAAAAATATGACATAGGATCAATAAAAAGTCTAATGCCAAAACAAATGTGCAAAGGACATGAACAGGTATTTCAGGAAAGAAGTTAAAATGATCATTTATCCTGGGGAAAAAAAGTCTACTTCATTAATAACCAAGGATATGCACATTAAAAAAGCAATGCAACATCATTTTTAATCTTTCATGTTGGCCAAGACGGAAGCCAGTGACGAGGCCTGCTGTTGGCCAGGTGTGGGGAACATGCAGCCTTGATCACTGCTGGTAGGAATATAATACGAGATCATCAATCAGTGTCTTATACCCAGTTGGTGTGAATGTAAATTGGCATACTTGCAAATAATTTTGTAATTTGGCCATTTGCATTAAGTCTTAGACATATACATATTCCCTGACATCTCCAAGATATTGTCAAAGGAGAAGCTCCTCAATGCGCACACACAGATCCTTGAAGTATATTCATCTGAGCAGAGGCGGGGAGGAATGCTGATAGAAGGGGGGACAGCAGCAGCAGGGGCGGGGCCAAATAAGGGGCATGTGACGCAAACAGCAACCATTCACGCGCGAAAAATGGAGGATTTAAGAAGTTCGCGGTTTCTGAAATAGGAATAGATATGCATCCACACAGGACTAAACACGCAAAGCCAAGGCAAGACTAAAACTGTAAAAGAAATCTTTAGCAATTTGGCAGATTGGTCATTTGGAGCTTGGCTCTTAGCAAATTCATCTCATGATAAATTGAGTTTTGGTAAAGGGACCGCTTCCACCAAGGCTGCCTTGAATATCTATGTCGGATCAGTCAAACGGCTCTCTCTTTAAACATAAGCATCAGTAAAGATCTATCTCTTAAAAGTAAGTTTGAAATCTTCACAATATTCCAGATTGATTTGGCAATGGAAGTTGCCTTCCATTCACAGCGTTACCTCCTGTGGTTCCCTGGCCTCCTTTGCATAAACAAACACGCATACACTCTGGAGAGTTGATTCACTAATTTACAGAGAGAACTGGAACTACCAAGAAGACTAAATATTCATGCATGGGAACGCGTGGTTCTCCTCCTGACAGCAAATGTCGGACCTGTAATAAATGGCAGGACGCTGCACAACTCCCGCATCGTTCAGAACAAGGGACGGTGGGAAGAAAGCAGAGAGGTGGGGGCCAAGAAGAGTTGACGAACAGGAGTAGCATGGATTAGCGTCTTCCGGGAGGGAGCCCCATGCCGGTCCCCTGCCCGAGAGACCAGGGAGAGGGGGCCGGCCTCGGGGACAGGAACAAGCGCCTGAGTAGGAGACAGAGGGTCAGGTTTGATTTGCTTTAATACTGTTCGTTTGGAGGTTTTCTTCCAGTCATAAAACTAGAACAGGAAATTGGAAAGATGAGCATAAATAGCCTATTGTGCTGTCACCTAAAACCCACCACTGTGAATAGTCTGAGGCATTTCTTTCTTTTTAGTATGTCTTCTGTACTTTTTAATAACACAAGCGAGGACAGAATGTATGTTCGGTTTTACGGCCTCTTGTTTCTCCCTCCATATTTTAGCACGAGTCATTGCCCACACCAAGAATGCCTCACAAAGATGCTTTCAAATTGCTGCTTGGGCGCCTGGGTGGCTCAGTCGGTTAAGCGACTGCCTTCGGCTCAGGTCGTGATCCTGGAGTCCCGGGATCGAGTCCCGCATCGGGCTCCCTGCTCGGCGGGGAGTCTGCTTCTCCCTCTGACCCTCCCCCCTCTCATGTGCTCTCTCTCAAATAAATAAATAAAATCTTTAAAAAAAAAAATTGCTGCTTAATACTCCATTGTATGGATATGCCAGATATATCAAATCACTTCTAGATTATTGATCATTTTGACAGTTTACCTTTTTTTTGGGGGGGGGATTAGAGTTAAAGCTACAGTGAATATCACTGTATATAAAGACTCCTTCTAGTTTATAGTTCTAGAAATTAGAAATCTGACTCACTACTGAGCCAAAAGTATGAATTTTTTTAGTGCTATTTCTTTCACCAGATTATAAAGATCATGTTGGTGTGCTGTAGCAGTTTGGTTCTATTTTGATTACTTTTCTTTAGCTTGTATTTAGGGAAGCCAGTTTGGAGGTCTAGCATAGGACTCTGTCCATGACTACACTGGTTATAGGCTGCTGGAGTGGAAGGAATCTGGGCTCTGTTAATCCAGCCACTCATTTTTTTCAGATGGGGCCACAAGGGCTGAGTGAGTCTGAGTGACTCCAGGGTCACCCAGGACAGTGGTGGTGCTGTGGTAGAGCTGGGTCTCCTGACCCCCAGGATAGAACACTCCTTAGCTTCGACTGACAGGGCGTGGAAAGAGAGATGAATCCCCAGGGGGTACATCTGTAGGAGGGAAGGGCACCCAACGCAGGCGAGAAACGACATGCAGGTGAGAGTGAAGAATCTGGACAATGACAGACCAAAGGGGCTGAGCCCAAGGCACGAAGCGATGCTACAGTGAAAATGAGTCTAGAAACGCAGAGAGTAAGTCTTGCCTTTCCTAGCACTGAATTTTGTTAATTATATAATAGTTGCTAGTATTTACAGAGCACTTTGGAGTTTGAAAAGCGATTGACATATACGTTCTTATTTGATCCTCGCCCCTATGCTTTACAGATAGAAAATGGAGAACGTGTTCTAAAGGACTTTTCCAAGATCACACACAAAGAATGCGGTGAGGTTGGCACTTGAAATTCAAATCTCCCAAATCCTATTCCCTGGGTATGCTGGCTCCCAATGCAGAGCCAAGGACAATGGCACAATTAGTCAGCAATTCACACCTAGGTTATAATATCATTATTTTTGTGGTGTAATTTACAGACCTGTACTGTTGCCCTTTTCACACTGTCAATCTTGAAATAGAAAGTTCCATTATTCTCTGCATTAAGCTTTGTGATGGAATGACTCAGAGCCACCTCCAGCTCTGGGCTGTTGACCGGTATATCTCTGGGGCAGCCAGGGCAAATCTTGGACGGTGGTTGTACAAAATCCTCCCCTGAAAGAAACAGGTTTTAAGTCAGCGTGTGCAGGGGAAGGAAAAGTCTAGCCTAGTAGCTCTCCTGCACGTGATCTGGCATCCCTTTACAGAGGGCCATGTGACAGCCCGAGGCTCAGTAGTGTGTAGACGTTGTCTATCTGACCTTCACCTTAAGGCCTCTCTCTTTTTCTCTTCTCAGAACCAAGTGTGTTAAGGAAAACATTCAATCAGTAGGTATTAGTGTCTCAATCAATATGCTGTACTTTTCCTAAGTTTTTGCATTTTTGATGGAACCACCTGTAAAAAGCAGTGCTTAACTTAAAGGAAGGACTCTCTAGTGGGAAAATTTTAAGTCCTTTGATTCGGGTGAGCAGGCAGCTTCAGTAGTGCTTCTCATCATGGAGTGCATACAACTATCCTCCAAGAATGAGAAAAGCCAATTCTTGGTATAAGAAATAAGGACTTGACCATAATTTTACAATATTTCCCTTTCCCTCCCATTGTAACATGTGGGTAAAAAAAAAAAAAAAACCCAATCTTTAATTGAAAGGATTTTACTTGGGGCGCCTGGGTGGCTTATTCTTTAAGCGTCTGCCTTCGGCTCAGGTCACGGTCCCAGGGTCCTGGGATCGAGCCCCACATCGGGCTCCCTGCTCCACGGGAAGCCTGCTTCTCCCTCTCCCACTCCCCTTGCTTGTGTTCCCTCTCTCACTGTGTCTCTCTGTCAAATAAATAAATAAAATCTTAAAAAAAAAAAAAGAAAGAAAGGATTTTACTCTAAGTGGTTAAAAATGAGATGCAGCTTTCCCAATTTACAGCACCTGACATAAGGACATCTTGCACACAGGGAAGACCAACTGGTGTTGTACCCAGAGGCCAGCCACTTCCCCTTGTAGTCACCATATTCCCTTCTGGCTACTTCCAGAGCAGTCTCAGCTGCACTTGCCACCGCACAGCTGGGCAGAGACGGGGTAAGTTGATCTCGCGAAGGTCTGCTGATCACACAGACTTTGTGGCCCTTCGTGGAAACCAAAGCACAGTTCCTGTGAAAAGACCTAGCCCGTTGCCAGGGACCAACATGGGTCATGTCATACCTGGATAGAGTTCACACTTCTGCGAGAAAGAAGCAATTCTTAGCTGAAGATCCATGTGGGCGTGATCTGTACATTCACCGATATCCTGGTTTTTAAAAAGTATATAGGTACATAAAGTAAGAACATTTTTAAGAACCTTTAAAGTAAACAACTAGTATAACTAAAAATAGGATGTTGACTTTACAAATCATCACATAGAAAATGAAAACAAAACATAGTCTGATTGCAAAGAGAGAATAAAAGACAATTAGTTAACAGCATCTCCAACAAACACATAGGCACAAACCCACAGAAACGTGAAACAGGATGATGAGAATACCTAGTATAGAAATAATAACCATATAGGTGAACAGATAAAATTTTCTTTTAGCAAGGCAAAGACTTGTAGATTAAGCTAAAAACAAAATTAATGTATTACATCTTCAAGTATAATATATTATAATAAAAAAGGTTTAAATATAGTGGATGAGCAAAGCTATATGAGGCAAATATGACAAAAAGGAGCTGAAGTATTATTAATATTGGAAAAAGTAAAATTCAAGGTAACAAAAAACTCACAAAGGTAGTAATAAAGATTATTTTATTTATATAAAAGATATAGTCTAGAAGCCCAGAATCAAGATACATAAAGCAGAAAACATATAGGAATAGAAATGGATAGAAATCATTGTGGTGGGAAATTTAACATACAACTATAAATCTAAGACAGATGAGGTGGATTAAAAAATAAATAAGGTCATAGGAGACTTGAATAACATAATATTTATTTAAATCATATTCTCATATGACACACATGATTTAAAATGACACTTTCATAAGTATGATGCAAAATTTTTAATCACTTCCACACTAGGTCATAAAAAAGTCTCAATAAATTTATCAAATCAGAAATAATATAGGCCATGTTCTTTGGCCTCAGCACCAAAAAGAAAAAAAAAACCTCCCTGAAAATTAATATTACATTACTTACATGTTTAAACAAATAAACAAATAAAAACTAACTACTTGGAAATATAAACACACTTGCCTAAATAGTTAGGGTTCCTTAGAAAAGGAAAAAAAATACACAAAATAAAAATGAGAATTCCACATCATATTGCCAGAGCACCATTTAGAGTTAACTCGTGGCTTTATATGCTTTTGTAATTTAAGGAGAGAGGCAAGAAACAAAACAAAACATCCCTAAGACTAGGTGTTTATCTCAAGAAGTTAAAGAAAAGAATAATGAACAGGCTTCAGGAAAATAAGAAGGAGAAAACAATGAAGGTAAAAGCAAAACTGAGAAGTTTGAAAACAGCACTAGTGTTAAAAACAAATTCAAAAGATCATTCTTGGGGTGAGGAAAAAATCAAGTGCATAAAAAAGGCAACATAGCAAAGTATACAAAGAAGTAGAAAAATATAAGAGAATATTATGAACAAGTTTATGATAATTTAAATTCCAAAGAAATAGATAATTTTCTGGAAAATTATAAATAACCAACTGACTTAAAAACAAGAAGAAAACTTGAATGGATCAATGACTGGAGAAGGAGAAAATGCTATTCCTACTCTCAACTTCATTCCACTTCTCACCTCCAAACAACATAGATATTTTATGGAAGAATAATTTTAAAAATTAAAGAAGTATATATATTTCATGTTGTATAAGATATTTCTGAATATAGAAAATATTGGCAAAGGTGCCTGGTTGGCTCAGTCAGTAGAGCATGCAACTCTTGATCTCAGGGTTGTGGGTTCGAGCCCACATTGAGTGTAGAGATTACTAAAAAAAAAATAAACTTAAAAAAATAAAATAGTGGGGGGGGGGGTTAGCCTGGTGATGGGTATTAAAGAGGGCACGTATTGAATGGAGCACTGGGTGTTATACGCAAACAATGAATCACGGAACACTACATCAAAAATAATGATGTAATGTATGGTGATTAACATAACATAATAAAATAAAAAATCTATTAGCTAAAAAAATAAATAAATAAAATAAATAAAATAGTGGCAAACTATTTTCATTCTATAAAATTATAATCCTGATACCAAAACCTGAAAAAATAGAATACACATACAAACACACACCTAGAAAACCATTAAACACCTTTCACTTATAAATATAGATGTCGAATTCCTAACCGAGAAATAGAATCCAAATGTATATCTAAAGAATAATTAAACTAAACAAATAGAGTTTAGTTTAGGAACCTAAAGATTACTTTAGGAAAGCTGTCAAAACAACATAACAGATTAAATTAGGAAAACATAATAGATACTTTAATATCTGTTCTAAACCATTTCCTGAATTCAATACCAATTCCTTATTTAAGAACAAAATGAAAAGAATAAAACTCTTTAAAGGACAGGAATGTAAGGATGCTTCCTTAACATGACAAAGAATGTCCACCTGGAACCCACAGCACATATTATGCATAATGACAAAATCTTAGAGGCTTTCCCAATATAATCAGGAATAAAATATGATGGTGTGTGATGATCACTGTTATGTCAAAAATTATGTCTGTTTGTTTGGATCAATTCATTAAAACATAGAACAAAAAAAATGAGCATCAGAAAAGAAAATAAAAGTATTTTTCACATAAGATATTATTGTATATCTAGAACAATCAGAAGAATCAATGAAAAGCTGTTAGAGCTAATAAGAATTCAGTGAAGTTGCTGAATGTAAGAAAAATGCACAAAAAAGTATACATTTGTATCTAATAACTTATTAAAAAGAAAATAAAAACAAAAGGATTTAATTCCTGATAGCAATAACCAAAAACAAACAAACAAAAAACAAAACAAAACCTAGAAATATCATTAGTGAGCAATATTCTGGGTATATATAAAGAAAACCCCACAATTTTCGAAATATAAACTGAAACTTGTCTAAATAGAGATGTATACCAAATTCTTGACTAAAAAGACTAAATAAGAGTATGTATGCCACTTCTCCTCAAATTACTTTAGACATGTAATGGAATCCCAATCTATGTGACAATATAAGTTTTTCTCACAAACTTTTTCTAAGTTTGGTTTTGAAGATATAGACACTGGATAATAAATCACATATTTAAACTTTCTATGAATCTATGACTGCTAAAACATGGTGGTGTTGGTACAAAAACAGAGAACAGATTTTTGGGAAGAGATTACTATGGAACGAAGGTTGTCATGAATTTATGTAGAAGGAAAGACTGTTGAGGTATCTGGTTATTCTCTTTCAAAGATTGGAAAAAAAATCACAAGATACATCAAAATTAATTCCAGATAAGATCGAAAGTTACATTATAAAATATTGACCGTAGACAAACTAGAAGAAAAAAAATAAAGTGATTGCTGAGCAAATGGTGGAAAAATTCAAATGAAAATATTGGTAGATTTGGCAACCTGTAAACAAAAACTATTCGTAAGTCAGAAATACCATAATGAAAACTAAAAAGGAAACCCCTGAGAAAATATGACAAAGCACTAATACCTTTACTATAGAAATATGATTTTCCAAATCTTTTAAGATTTATTCCAAAGAGAAATGGGCAAAGAATATAGAAGACAATTTATAAATTCAATCCATAAATTTCTAACAAGATATGAAAATATAGTGGTTAAATAAATGCATATTAACTACATTGTTGACTGATAAAATGAAAACTAAAAAGGTTTTTGTCTACAAAATTAGCTAAGTTTTTTTTTTTATCTCATGACTTTTTTACTTTTTTTTTTTTTTAAAGTAAACTCTACCCCTAAGATGGGGCTTGAACTCATGACCCTAAGATCAAGAGACGCATACTCTGCCAACTGAGCCAGCCAGGCACCCCTAAGGTTTTTTTTTTAATACTGAATTCTATCAGGGGTATACATTGCTGATAGAATATAAATTGATGTATTCAGCAAACAACCTATATATATCAAGAGTTTTAAGAGCTTTTTGAAAAAACTGAAGTTTGGGGCACCTGGGTGGCTCAGTCAGTTAAGCATCTGCCTTTGGCTCAGGTCATGATCCGAGGGTCCCGGGATCGAACCCCACGTCAGGCTCCCTGCTCAGCGGGGAGTCTGCTTCTCCCTCTCCCTCTGTCTGCCGCTCTGCCTACTTGTGCTCTCTCTCTCTCTCTCTCTGTCAAATAAATAAATAAAATCTTTTAAAAAAAAGAAAAAAACTGAAGTATAATTAATATCCTATTAGTTTCAGGTGTACATCATAGATCAGAACGTCTGGGGGGATGGCCTGGGAATAGGCAGTTTTTTAAGGCTAGCTGAGTGATTCTAATATGCAACGTGGCCCGAGGAAACTATTTATGAAACCTCTCAAATCAGTGCTTTTCAGACTTTAGCATGTCAATAAATCACCGGAGAATCTTGTTAATATGCAGATTCTGATTCAGTAGGTAGGGGTGGAGTTGAGCTCCTGCTTTTCTAACAGCCCCCCTGGTGATGCTGACACCGCTGCTCCTTGCAATACACTTTGGATAGCGTGCCTCAGACTATAACAGCTGTGGGCAAAACATTTCATTTCTATTTCATGTCCTTGAA